TGGGCCAGCCTTGCCAACGGGACCGACGTCTCCCTCTGCACGTCTCTGCAGCAGCCGGTTCCGGCATCCTCCTGGGATCCCAGCATCGTCTCAGTCTCCCCCTCCCCAGCAGCAGCAGTTCTAGATCTGGAGGTTAATGAAAGGGGCGAAGCCAACCACATCCTGGAGGAGAACGAGAGCCCTCTGCAGTGGAGGCTCCACATCCAGCTCCACCCCACGGCTTCGGAGGATGCTCAGGCTGGACTCGGCCACATTGTGGCAATGCTTCACCTTCAGCGAGCGCAGCTTGGGACAGTACTCAGCCAGGACCCTGCCAAGAAAGAGAGCACGTGCAGGTTGCAAGCCAGGACTCCTGAGTGCACCACTCACTGTCTTCTCTACTCCCAGCAGCCCAGTGCTCACAACTGTGCCACACATGCACCATCCTTTGTGAGCAACACCCTCGTAGTCTGAGAGAAACTCAAGGGATATGGTTGGATCCCAGACCTGCCCTCCATCACATGCCAGGGGATTTGCTGTTAGTAGAACACTGCCTCTCCTGAAGGGCCTGCTTCTGCCCCAGACTGAGCTCTCATTGCTTTCACCATGAAGAAATCTGACTTTTCTCTCTGGTTCTCTTCCTCTCCCTGCCCCAGACACCTGCCATCCCCGCCCGGGCTACCCCATGTTACTCAGTACCTGATGGAGTCATTCTTGACTCGCAGACACCCCGTGAGGTCCAGGTGCTCCAGCTCGGGGCAGCACTTGGCAATCTCCTCGACTGCCACGTCGCCCACATTGGCATTGACAGCCAGTGACAGAGACTTGAGCCTGCTGCACTTCTGCACCAGGTAGCAGATGGCCTCGTCCTTCAGCTGGCGACAGGCCGTCAGGTCCACAGCCTCCAGCGCCTTGCAGTGGTCAGCCAGGCTGCGCAGGGACAGGCTGTCCACCCACTCGCAGTGAGCCAGGGAGAGCTGGCGCAGGTTGGGGCAGCTCAGCGAGATGGCCACCAGTGCATGGCGGCTGAGCTGGGCACAGCCCTTCAGCTGGATCTGGTGCAGGTGGTGGTTCTGCCCAATGACCGGGAGCAGCTCCCTGTCCGTCAGCCAGTCAGAGCAGTTCTGGAGCGCCAGCTGCTGCAGAACTTCGTTGTCCTTCAGCAGGTTAACGAAAGCAGCTCGAGGGATGGCAGGTCCGATCTGTATGGGGAACCCAGGAAGAATGAGGCATCCCCCAGGGCTTCAGATCAGCCTGATCCTCACCAAATACTCTCTCCTCTCTTCCACTGTGACAGTGGTGACCAAAGCCACCCCCTTATTGCAGGGCAAAGCCTGCCATCAGGCTCTCCTCCCCTCATGCCAAGGCTACTGCCACAAGCTAGAAGATACTCTGGCTTCTCCATCCCCCACCAACACCCCTGCATTTATATATTTATGATGAGCTCCGCACCTCTGCTCTCCAAGAACTCTACTAGACCACTCCTCACAGAACAACTACTCTTGTCTTTCCAAGTCCCAGGCAGTGTCTCCCAGGGCCAGCACAAGCTTTCCCTGAAGACCAGACACAGACTTATCTCCTGTCAGACCAACCCTATTGTACAACCTCTGGGAGGACCGACAGGCTGTGCCAGTCCAGAGCTGACTTGTGTTTCTGCCAGCTGGTGCCCCATAATGGCCTGGGTGGAGCTTCCAGGCTCACTCCTCCCAAGGCCTCTTGCTAAAGACACTGGCGTTGCTGGGCCCTGAATCACCACCTGTCCTCCCTGAGACAATCTGTCCAGTCTGACACCTGAGCCATTAACCTGAGCTCCTGAGCAGAAACCAGCCTCCTTGCTGGGGGTTTCTTCTCCCCGCATAGTCAGATGCTCCCCTGTTAGCTCCAGAGCAGTAGGACATCTGTGTCTCCCCCAGCCTCAGAGCCATCCAATACCTGGCTTGAGTCAAAGCTGCGCATGTTGGCCAGGTACAGCTGGACGAGAGACTGGAACGACTTGCTGACCCTCTGCAGACGCAGGAGCTGCTGCAGTGGCAGATGACAGAGGATATGTGGAACTAAGATGTCTTCCCAGGGCAGGTCCAGGAGGCATCCCCTGGAGGGGGTCAAACTCATCATCAGATGCCAGGGAGCCAGGCTACAGTGGGAGCCAGGCTAGATCACCTCACACCTACTGCCGCATGCCTCTAGGAGGAACAGCCAAAAAGAAAGACTCAGCAACGTCTCCCACAGTCAGCCCACAGGGTAAAACCCCCTGGCTAGCCATCAGCAGGGCACATGCCTGCCACCTGCGTCACCTCCTCCCCAGCCTGGGATGTTCACTGCTTAGGCATCTGAATCCACCTGCCTGCACTGCCCTCCAGGAGAGCTCGGGTGGGGCTTTCCACCCACTGCTCAAGGAGTCCTTGCTGCCCTGCTGAGGGACAAGTGACTGCTGCAGCATTACCACACCACCCACGCAGTAGCTGTGCCTAAGTTTCATGTCTGAGCATCGCTCTACCTGGCAGCTAGTCCCCTGCATCCAGTGCTGAGCCGCTCGCGCACCTTGCGAGGGGGAGAGGGCAGGCACCTGCTCCCTCCCGTGGGGAGCTACGAGGCTCCGGGCTCCCCCCAGAGCGGTCTCCCCCCGAGGAGCGGGGACACGGCATCTCTGCGGAGATGAGGCCGCAGCCTCGGGCGGCGAAGGGAAGGGCAGGAGC